ATTTAGTTACATAGACAACTGTTGCATCATATTAATGACCATTCAGTAACATTCAGATCGATCCATCAATTGATCTTGTTTGATCATCGTACGCATTTGCACCCACTGTGTCGTTTTGTTGCTGCTAGTCATGATGACATCATCATTATGATCATCTTCTATGTTTCTTTTTTTTCTTTTTTGTTTTCTTGCTCATTATCATTATTAATGCCATAGAAATTTACGTATTTGTTTGACCATAACTTTGTTCTTTGTTATTATTCTCTGTTTTATATTATACTTTAGGTAATGATATGTCGAGTGTTTGTTGTTTAACTATACCGTCAAATAATTATTCATTAACATCACCTTCATTACAGTCGAATTCAATTGGTAAAAAAGAAGAGAAACAAAAAAGTGTAGAAAAAGAAGAAGAAAATTACAGTATCATTTTGAATCAACATTTATCATCAATGACATATTCAAATAATTCACCTATATCTACACGATTTTTACAGCATCAACATCAACAACAACAACCATTGCTTCTTGTTGCTGAAGAAGCAGAAATATTAGATATTGATAATCAAAATGATAATGATAAACTTCTTCTTCCTCGTTCAACACGTACACTTAAACGACGTACAAGTCTATTTGAAAAAAGTCGAGATTGGGTAATATGCTTATTTTTTTTTAGTAAAATTTTGTTTTTTTTTTTTCTAATAAATTTTATGAATTTTTAGGCACGACGTCTTATAACTCTTCATAGAATTCGTCGAAATGCAATATCAAATGAAAAAATTCGTGAAACATGTTATGAATTAAATAAAAAAAATTCCATAAGAAAAAATTCTTATCATGAATCATTATATAATTATCCAAAAAATTTTGATGAAGATGGTTATTTATCTCCAATGGATATTCAAGCTAAAGTAAAAAAAAATCATATTTAAACATATAATTATTTATTTATAGAATATTTTCTTTTGTAGCTTAATAATATATCTAAAGAAAATCGTTCATCTTATAAAAAATCATCAACTAATAATTCTTCTGATCAACAATTAATTGTTTATTCTCATAGTGGTTCTGATTTACCACAATCTATTTATCGTTGTCAGGGTCCAATGATTCCAACATCTACACCACAATGTACATGTCAACAACAACAACAACAACAACGATTACCATCTTCATCTTTTGTTTCAGAATTTCATAAATCTCTTTCAATTGTTGATTATATCGATTTTGATGTACCTGAAACATCATCATCATCATCATTAAAACAAGATGATGATAATAATGATCCACTTGATTGTTTAAAATATTTATTTAATGAAAACAATAAAAAAGAACAGGAACCACATGGAAATTTTATTCGTCGTACACCACGTCGTTCAACGAATACATCGTCAATATCAGCTGATTCAGGTTATTGTGATATATCAGTACCATCATCAAAATTAATACCTGTTCATTTAATATCATGCAGATTAATACCGGTGAATGTTACACGAACAAAATCAATGGATATACATTGTTTAACATGTACATGTCCATCATCAACATTATCATCAACATATTTTTCTAATAAAACTGAACGTCGACGACGAAAATCTTCAACATATTCATCACAGTCACAACCACAGCGAACTTATTCTCGACAACATATGGATATACTTGAGAATGGGATTAATCATCAATGTACATGTAATAATAAGTATTATTCTACAATGACAATATGTCCAGCATTATCTGTATCTTCGCCTATGGGAACTATATCTACAACAAAGATAGATGTTAATCATAAGGATGATTATTACAATAAACAACAAAAAAGACATTTGAGAAAAAAACGTACAAGTCTTTTAAAGTTTGTTTATTCATATTAGAAAGTAAAAAATTTTCAATAAAAAAATTCTTTTTTTATTTTGTTTGTAGACTTCCTATAATAAATGATGATTTAACATCTGTATCACGTTGGTATAAACCAAAACTTGAAAGGTAGAATAAAATAACATAAACAAATAATTAAGTCTTTCTTTTTTTTAATTTTTATTATTGTTATTATTATAGAGATACTGTATGTCAAGCTCTACAATCAGCCGATTATGGTGCATTTATTTTACGTAATAGTACAACACATCCAGATTGTTATGCTCTCTCAGTTAAAGTACCAAAGTTTACACACGAGTCCAATATTGCTCATTATCTTATTGAAAGACTTATGCATAATGATACGTTTAGTTATCGTATTAAAGGAACAATAAAACAATTTCCAACACTTCTTTCATTATTAACTCATCATTCAGTTATGCCAGAAATTTTACCTATAACACTTAATCTTAATGAAATACTTTCTATTTAATAGTCATAGTTTACATATATATATATACATATTTATTTATACGTAGAAACAGTGAATTGAAAATGTGTATGCTTTTCTTTTGTTTTTTTTTTTGTTTTTGATACTTTGACAAATTTTCTGCTGTGTTTATTTGTGCTTTTGAAAAACAAAGAAAATAATTATTTATCTTGCTATAATTTGAATTTTTGAATCGATAGACTATAAGTAGATTATTCTACATATTAAAAAAAAGTTGTTTTTTTTTACGACGGAATATAAATATAATTAATGTAGACATTGTATTAAACGAAAACAAAGATATAAGATAATCGAAATCGATTTGCAGAAAAATTGATTATATTCAGTAATAAAATGATGTTTTTGAAAGAATATCCTTGATTATATTCAAATTAAATAAGGAAATCTTTTGTGTAATTGAATCTTATTGATTAGATTATCTTGATTTTTGGATGTTTATGCGAGGTATATACATATATATTAGTTTTTTTAATGTGATAATACAATAAATAAACATACATGCAACAAATTTTTTCAGGGGTGGATCAGTCAGGTCACTTTTCTAGTCGAGTCAAGTTTATTTTTGCTCTATTTTTCGTTTTCTGTTTATTTTTATAAAGAACAGTGACAACAAGTTTTTCATTTCACAATATCTTCCTAGTTTTTATACACAAAAAACAATATAATAATCGTTTTGTCTAAAATAAAATGACACAACTACTATAGTCTTATTAACAAAGTAAAAGCAGTAAAATCAACTCATCTCTATTTTCATACAGTTGCACAAGGCAATAAAACGGTTGGCAGTAGAAATGTCGAAAGGAAAAATGTCGAAAGAGAAAAATGTCGAAAGGACAAATGTCGAAAAAACGAAGGGGAAAAATGTCGAAAGGAAAAACATCGAAAGGGAAAAATGTCGAACGGGAAAAATATCGAAAAAGATGTACATTAAGAAAATGGTTGATTATTCTTGTTAGAAAATCTTGAAATATAGAAGATTTTCTTTATTTTTTTATGCTAACACTAGCATATGTTAATAGAAATAAATTTATGAATGAAGAAATAAATTTAAAAAAATAATTTTTTTCGTTTTGCAACGATCAATGATAAGCTATCTATGTATTCCATAGCTTTGATAATACCACCATAATATCATTTACGAAAAACATCGATACGACCTTGAGTTGCAATTGTTTTTATTTGCTTAGGTCGTGTTCTTAAACCTGCATAAAATTTAAATACTTAGGTGATGAAAACGATTTTCTTCTCCTTGTACAAACTTTATGAATGACCAAATGTTTGGATGATTAACTTGAACTTGTTCATTAAAGCGACTATGAAATGTTAAATATATAAGAATGAAGTTATGAGAGACTATTAAAAAGTATTTGAGTTCCGTCATTTAAAAATACCGTATTTGTTGGCATATTATTATCACTATAGTTATTTATTTACGTTGTATATAGTTGTTTATTTAATCTCTATCACGTATTAGTCATTTTTACTACTAGTTGTGAAAAACCTCGACTATAGGAATTATAATAAAAGAAAATATGTATTGTTCGAATTTAGAGTTATCATTTATGGGAGACATAGTTGTTTCTTTTATTTTTCATTTTTACATCTATTTATATTAGAATTCATTTTTCGACATTTTTCCCCTTCGATATTTTTTCTTTCGACATTTTTCCCTTTCGATATTTTTCCCTTCGACATTTTTCTCTTTCGACGTTTTTCCCTTTCGACATTTTTCCTTCGACATTTTTACCCTATTTTTTTTTCTTTCGACATTTTTCCTTTCGACATTTCTACTACACACCAATAAAACATTAGTTTTTATTTAAAAACAAATCTAAAATTAAAATTTTCACACAAGTTCAACTAATGTGTAGCATATAATAGCAGGAAAACACATGAATCTTTTAGGAAACTTATCAAGAGATTGATATGATTTAAGATCATTATAGTTAAATTTTCTTCCTGCAGAAATCTAGTCTGAAATTGATTTCGATGTTGAATTATTGACTTTTGCTTTTTTCAACTAATGCCACGAGTTAACAACATCTATAACTTTCGAGTCCGAGTCAAATCACAGTATGAATAATGACTTGGGCTTACCGATCTCTGCAGTTCTTTTGACATGCATGTAGTTTTGATAAGAAGAAAAAAAAAACAACCCTGTATGAAATAGTTCATGATATTTTTTTTCATTGAATTATATGAATAGTCTTTTTTTTTTGACATGAAAAGAAAAGGCAGCTTTCTGTCATACGTACAATAAAGAAATAACTTTTAGTTGATTTTGAAATAAAACTTCGATCTCTATCGATCGTCTTCATAGATGATAAAATAAAATCTATATAACTTTTCTTTGAGTAAATTCTTCGAAAAATGAACAATTTTAAGCATTCATTAAACTTGTGTTTAGAAAATAAGTTTAAATTTAAGTATATGCTATGTGAATGATTACACATGTAAGAGTCATGATTTATTCAATCAATCATTCAAATTTCGGAAGTCCTTACATAGAAACAAAAAAATACATAGATTTCGAATAATCCACAGAACGAAGGAAAACATAACAATAGAATAAAGAGAGATTTATGTTATAATACATTGACATTTTATCAAATAAAATGACAAATTCTACATATTGTCATGCTATAGTTGCCAAACGAAAGTCTGATTCGTTATCTTCATTTATAATTGTTACACTCTCCAAACCATCATTACATAAATCATATTCAGAATCACGTCTTAAACCTGTACTTTCAGTACAACGTGGATTTGTATTTTTCATTCGTTTTAATGATGTCCATTTTTCTAAAACATGTTGACGTCGATTAAAACCAATAGCTGTTAGAAGTACTATAATTATAACCACACATGACAATGGTACAGCATAAGATAATATACGTGTCATGTCATTATGATCATCATATGAGTCTGTTGTTACAGTATACCTTGAGTTACTTATTGTTGTTGTTGTCAAATTTTGAATGTTCTTGTATAATTTATTATTGTTATTCATTTTTTTTAAACACAAAACAACAAAGAAAAATATTTAAATACTAAAAATTAAAAACAAAAAAATAATTTCAGCTATATCATACCAGTTTATAGATATCTTTTTTTTTATCTTGAGTCAGTTGTTTATCATGTTTTGCTTCGTGTTTTGAGATGATGACAATGTGGTTGTAACAATCTTATGTAAGATTTGATTACATATAAAAATTCTCTTGTATTTTTGTTCTTGTCATGATGTCGCAAACATTTTTCTTTTTAATTATAATATTCAAAGTTAGATGATGTAAACACAAAAAATGTTCAATGGTGTTAGAAAAAAACCTATCGACAGAATTGTTTTGAAAATTGCTCTCAATTGTTTTTCTAAACGATTGTTTAATCATTTATTTATCGTATTGACAGTATATGGACTCATCACATTCTCAAAGTATATTCCAAAGATTATATGATGATAGTGGGACAAATGTTTTGCTCTGGAATCAAGGTAAATTTTTGTCACAGGTAAAACGGGTGCTGATACTGAATTAAGTTCATTTTTAACGTTTATATACCTAGAAAGTATTACGAAAAACAAAATCTTATCATCATTTTTCTTTGATTAAAAGTTCACTGAAATGAATCCAACGACGCAGCGAGAAAAGATCACAATACGAAAGGGTATTTTTTGAAAATTGGAGAAAGGTGTTGATCAAATGCATTAACATTCCGAGACATTTGTAATGTGACGGACGTACTATAGATCTTTTCTGTAAAGACAAATGCACAAAATTATGGTCATGAGAGACCGAATCGAACCGAGTTTTACTGATTCAGTTCGAGTCATTTTCGGTTTCTGATAGGTGTGGTATTTTCCTATTAATTTATTTCATACTTAAGTTCTTGCCAATTTTAATGTAAAATAAATTTAAATTCATCAGTTCGATTGTCAAAACATATGACTTCAAAAAAATATATTAGAAACTAGGAGAGAAACTGGTATTATACTTTCAAATGCGATCACCACAATACATGATTCTGTAAAAAAAAAATAGTTGCGCTCCGATCTTCTTATTTTCTAATGATACTTAAAAACTTATAAACATATCTTTGATAGCAGACTTAAGAGATAAAAGATTTCTTTTATTCCTAAAGACAACCGTTCAAATTGAAAGTTAACTTAAATTAATTAAAATAGGATTCATAATACTTCAAGCTTACTTAGATGTAATTTGAATTATTCTAAATCTATTCAATTTTTTTAAATATTTATATGAATCTGATTTAAACTTAAAATAATTTATAGATTTTTACAATTTATTTCTAAATTTTATAAATTTTTGTAAATGTAAATTGATCATTTCTATGCCGATAATGTAAAATAATCGATCAAACGCTGTTTGATAATCGCCCACGGCATCATAAGTACACAATAACGATTATGGCTCGATCAATCATTTTACTTATATGTTTGTCTACATTCATTCGCTTTTCTCGAATTATTTAGGTTCAATTTGTTTTCGGTCCCTGATGGTTACTTTCGACTGATTTTACCATAACAAGCAAACCTTGACAACTTCTAAGTTTATACACAAGTGAAAATCATTTACTGTGTGGCAAATATACGTGTAGCCATCTATTGTCTTTTTCAATTTTTTTTGTAGTGAAAAGTTTTTTCGTATTAAGGTTTAAAATGTTTCTCAAGCCTGTTCGATCTCGACATTAGTCACGTTTGCAATAACTCTTGACTAATGCAATGCATATCAAGTTTCATGAGATATGTAACCTTGTACTATGTTTTCAAAACACAGACATGTTTATTGGGTTTCAGAAAGTGACACTGTTTTTTTAACGTGTGAAGGTTTATGCCTTTGAATAATTGATAGAGTTATTTCTGGCTTGATGACAATATTTTCAAAAACTGTTTAAGATCATTTATTTTCTGTCAGCTTAATAAAGTTCGTGCCGCTACTTGAGAGTTTTAAATGAATGATTCTGAACTCTGTTGCCTGAAAAAAAATCTCGGCGCATTAAAAACACTTCGACTTGTCGTAGACATTGATGAAATTTTTCGATAATAATTTTAATCATTATTTCAAAAACAAAATAATCCTAGTAGATGAAGTGTTCACAGCATTGAAGAAAAGTATAAGGCCAAGTCTTCTGAAACAAAAGAAAGATGTACCCCGAATTTCTTCAAACTCAAAGAGAATTGATTAAAAAATTTCTCTAAAATTATAAAAAGCTTCAGTTCAACTTTCAAAATCAAGAGAGAACACTTCACTGCCTGGTCGTATCGCCACTGAATGCATCCTAGTTGTTGTGAAACACTATTCAACTGCAATGTTGAAGTATAGGAGAACAAATTTGGACGTCCCCCTCCCCCTTAGATTGTGATCGACAGTGATATATATCATCACGCATGGTATATTGATGACGTCTCGTTCTAATATATGAATTCCGTTCTTATTGCATTTCTAGAGGATTAAATACAAAGGATGATGAAGAAATGTGTCCCAAAATAGATACAATAAAATAATCTCCCTATAATTAGCAACAGTAACTACATCATGTTTCACATTTTAATCCCGTCGAGGTTGCGCGAACAGCTTTATAAACATGCATGTAATCAAGAAAAAAAGTACAATGAGACCATCAAAATCAAAAGAATTAGTTGTTCAAACCAGTACATTTCTTATTTTGACCTTTTTTTTCTGATTGACAATTACGAACATTTAATTTTCATTTAAAATCCAAAAGAATAGCATTTTCATATCAAGACAACACATAAATCTTTGTTCATATGTATACTTTAGTTCACTTTTATTTATCATAAGTTATGAGCTAGATTACAAAAAAGAAATCTACTACAGATCGAATTTCTTCATCGTTTTCTTTTTGTCAAGTACGATACTCTCCAATCTTCTTGTTAAGGACATGTGTAATAAATTTTTATTAAAAACAACATTCGATGAGATTTCGAATCGATCAAATAAAAAAAAATTGATCTTATGATGGACTAGATGAAATCGATAGTATATAAAAGAAAAATATAGAAACTTCATACAAATATAATTTCTTATTTATACAAGTCTTTAATAAAGAAAATGATCCGATACTTTAAATAAATTAAGAAAAAGCACGTCGATCTATATATGAAGATGTATGGATATATTTGCACGTATACTTATTGAATACAGATTAAAATTATGCGAAAGCATCTTTTTTTTTGTTTCTTTTTAAAATTGATCTAATCGTTCTTTTTTTCAACATTTCAAAAAATTTTTTGAAATAATACTTTTTTATAAGTATGCCTTTGTCTTTATTGAAATAAACGTATGGTTCAATAATATTAGGTTTTTCTTTTGTTACCATGAACATATATTTGAACTGAATCACCTTATGATAAAGAAAAAAAAGACAAACTAAATCGATGGTTTACATATTTAATACGTTAACGTTTTTCTTTCATTGACAAAAGTTTCAATTCTCTTTTTCTCGTACCTTTATTTTTATCGTTCTTTGTGCCTGAATACGTTTTAACACTTCTTTCATTGCTATCGCCCTTTTTTTTTCTTCTTTTCTACACGTGTCAAAAAAAAAAGAATAACTTAGGAAAGGAATACGTAGAGTCTTGCCGTTGTCGACATCGCTATTGCATCCGAAATAAAGTTATACAACAAAAAAGAATAACATGATCAATTTCGTTGACCTTTTAGGTCTCATCCATGGTCGATAGTATGTATGTTCATTTTTTTTTGGACAGATAGTATGGAATGAATAGAAAATGATGGTAAATTTCATTTAATTATCTCTGTTTGATCTCTGGTCTTTTTGCGTAATGTATATATGTATATATAGTATTTTTTTTATGAGTGAAAAGGTGAATCATATTGTGTCTAAAAGTGTATGTGAAGAATTTCATTACTCAATTTTATTCTACCTGAGTATGCTGGCACGAGTAAGTTTCTTTCGCCGTTTTTTTCCTCGTCTATCGTTGCTTTTTTTTTTGTTATTAACATCGTACATTAATAAAAAAAAAAGAAGCAACGACAATGTCTCTATATAAATTGTGTCGTGATGTGTGTCGTTATTGAATGACAAGATCGCTAGAAGAAAACGTTATTTTTTTCTTTGTCTTTTCATCCTTACGAGTGACACGTTTTACAAATAGCTTTCTACGTTTGTCTTGTCTCATAAATTGTGCCGATGTTCATCACATGGCTCATTGGGCATCATGAAGGACAAAAAAATATATGCACACGTATGAATTAAAGAAAAGAGAAAAAAAACATTCATTATTCTACAAAAAAGCTTTTGTAGTATGTATATGTAGGTAAGGTGACATTCACGTCGTTGGTGACCCTCGACCACTCTTTACAACAAAAGAATGAAGAGAGAATATGAACTCTATATATGCATGTCACCCACAAAAAAAAGTAGGAGTGTTTTTGTACATTGAACGATACGAAAGAGAAAGAAGAGAAAAAAGGTATAGATGTGTACATAATGTTTGTTCATCAAGATGAGAATGAGCAAATGAGAAAAGAAAAAAAAGGAAACAGCAGCAAAAAAAACAGTAGTAGGCTAAGAGTTCATCATCATCATTAGTCTTCTTTTCTTTTGGTACGTGTATATATATATATGTGTGTGTGTGTGTTTGTATGTGATTGCTCAATCTTATGTATGATATGTCTATTACAGATGAATACTATCGACTCTTGGTCATCGATTGAGGCAATTATAAGACAACGTTTGGAATTGAATGAAATTGATCGACGTTATTGTGCCGTATGTGGTCGACAAGGTCCATCATTATCACGTTGTTTCGGTTGTCAGATGGTCTATTATTGTGGTGAAGAACATCAAATTGAAGATTGGTCCAAAGAACATGCTCAAAAATGTACACAATTAGAATGGGTTGCATTAGGAGAATTTATTCAAGCTTTACCAGCTCAACCACCATTACCAAATGTTGGTGATAAATGGCCATTATCATTAAAAGAAATTAACAATTGGAAAAATTGG